GAAAGTCACTTTAGATATTACGTGTAGTGTCTCAAAGAAGAAAGTTGTTCAGGCACATTGAAAGGCAAATGATGATGAATGTGGCAGCTCTCTTCAGATGGCTCAGGAGGAGAGTGACAGGGTTGTAGGAGAGAGCTGAGATCACAGACATCATTTAGCTGCTCACTCTGTAAGCAAGCACGGTGTTATACAGAGCAGAAATTCCACATCCACAGGACAAGTTACCTTCTAAGCCTTCCAGCACTGCCTTGAGGCAGCAGGCATGAAAAGCTAAAACACAGGCCATCAGAAAAAAAATGGGAATTGCACTGTCTGCCCAATTTTATTTTTCAAAAATATTGCCTTGGGTGCTGTATAGCAAACAGAGGAGTCTATTATACCCAGCACAGCTGAGTATATTTATTTATTTTATTTATTTAAATATTGCAATTTATTTAAATATTGATTTTAAAAAACATCACCAAACCATTATCTCTCTAACAGAAATAGAATTATCATTAAGACAGAAAAACAAACAGAACAAACAAACAGAAACAGAATTAAAAACTCAAGCTTTAATTAAGTTTTACTTACCAGACCAAACCCGAAGTTTATGAAGTAATGAAAAACATAAAGCTTTTGGCGCTCACTGATTTCATGAGGAATTTCTGCTTTGGGGTGTTCATAATAGAAAGCCGTTGCCACAACACCAACCAAAAGAGTGAGAAAAATGGCCAGGAGAATTTCCATCCTGCTGGGTTGGTAGGAGCCCAAGAAGGAACCAGCTGTGGCGTCCTCCCCCTTTTTCAGACTTTTGGATTTCTTAAGGAAAAGGCACAGGATTAGCTGTTCTCGTCAGAGCTCATAATCCACCTTTCAAAAATGCCAATAGGAAGATGAAAACATGTGGTAACCCAACCATACAATTAGACAGTAACAATTAGTCGTGGGAGAAGCTTGCATAAGCAGTTTTCACATCTGCAGGAACAAGGCTGTGCCCATCACAGCAGAACCAGGACTTGATGGATCATTGTAGTGTCAGTTTACAAGAAGACAAAAACTTGTTCTGTCTCTCTGCTTTTTGATAACAAGCAAGTCTTTATTATTTGTGAGTTCCTGTGCAGCATTTCTTGGAAATCATCTTCTGAGCTCCTTAGATTCTTGCTTTGTTGTGCCTCCATGCCTTACTTTTTCAGACTTGCATTGAAATCAAGGCTCAGTGTCACAAACATATTTCATCATCTGTCATGGCAGATTTTGGATGCTGCTGCCATTGCGTCTTTGAGTCCAGTGGAGCCAGAGGCAGCTGCAGCCTGCTCTGAGAGCTGTTCTTGCCTCATCCTCCTCAATGGCTCTTCTCCTGCACCAGCTGCTGTGTTTCCTTGGGTTTTGCTTGGTTTTTTACCTGCCTCTTGGCTGAGCCTGGCAGTGCTGCAGTCTCTGTCTTCCAGAAAGATATTATGTACAGATGTCATTCCAGGTAGAAATACAATCCCAACTGATGTAAACTAGACTTGAACTTAATGGTTTCAAGGCTAGTAGCACTGACTAGACACCAGCAGCCCACTCTTTCCTGTGGTGAGCTTTAGGATCTTCCTCTGGAGCTAACATATTGTGTAATTTTTTTCTTAAATAATAATAAAATAATATAATGATGAGCTGACCTTGAGTTGTATAATAAAATGAAACTAAAGACAGAGATCCCCAGGGCTTTAGCTTGTATAGTCCATGACCTGCATAGGAAATGGCTCAGGCTTGATACCTGACTTCAGAAACTGTTTAGAATAAGCAGGATGGAGCTGCATTTTTGAGTCTGGTGTTACACTTTGTGAGAAGCAGCTGATTCCATGTTCTGCTCTCTCTGCCCAAACCCTTTCTTCATTTTATCCAACAACTCTTTGTGGATTTTCATTTCCCAATGTCCCTGTGCCTCTCCCTCCCTTGCCAGAAGGTTATTTACATGCTAAATGTAAAATCAGATTCCTTTTTGTTTATCGTTCTGGATAATGGCATTTGATGCCCATCTTGATAAGGGATTTTGCTGAAAGGAGCATTGCCTGGGGATTGGGAGACTCTTGAGAAATGGCAGTGGTGAATTCAAACCCATCAGGACAAAGGTGCACAGAGGGTTCAGCTTTCTTACAGCTCAGACAGGAGCATTGGGAAATGCTGTTGCACAAAATACAATTGGATCTCCCTTCTTCAGCGTTTAATAGTGAAAGTAATTAACTGGCCTGTGCTAAACTCTGCTATCCCAATGGGTGAGGTGTGGTCTAAGTAAACCTATCAGATTTGGCCCCTCTGGGGATCTGAGCAGGCTCTTGACACCTGTGACAGATCCTTTGTACTGCAGTTCTTACCACCTGTTGTTCTTCTGTGTTCTAAATCTTTTTGGTGCCAATTCACCAACAGCTGGCAGGTCTTGAACTGGTTTGGGCTCGTTGACAGGGCCTGGACATCCCTGCACCCCCAGGGGCTCCACACAAAGACTGGGTGTGCTGGAAGCTGTCGAAGAAACAAACTTGTTGGTTTCTAAAGTGATATGTTTTTTCCCTTTGGGCACTGCAGGTTCAGAGTAGTACTTAATGCTGTGTAAGCTTAGTCTCAGCAATTCACAAGCTTGAGGCCCAGGACGGAGAAAACCATTCCCTAAATAATCTTTCAAATAAATGCTCTCTCTAGCTTCTGATAATTTTTTGACCTCGTCTCTGCTCCTGTGAGATAGAGCAGGGGATAGACCAGGCCAAAACCCTATTTTCTTCTACACCAGGGACTCCTTTTTTTATTACTTTCCAGTGAAAAGCTTAATATCCAGGCCTGAACTCTTGTCATTCCTTGTTCTTTTTCTGTGATATGGGTGCACATGCAAGGGGAAAGCCAGATGTAACAGATGTAAAACATTCCCTGCCTCTGGATCATGGTGCTGATTAGCTGGCAACAGAACTCACTGTAAATGGAAGCCTGTACTGGGATACTGGGAAACATTGCAGAGAAAGTGCTGTGTGACCCCAGAATATCCTTTTGGGTTCTGCAGAGCAGGAGAGCCATCTGGTGCTGGAAACCTGAACTGGAACAGGAGCTGGGCTAGTCACTCCTCGCTCTCTGGCTGCACAATTCCTTGAGGATAGACTTTGGTGTCCATAATTCTGTAGGTGGCATTGACTGTCATTCTGTTTTGTACTTGATTTTAAAAAAAATTTTTACTTGAAAATGCTGTGCTTTGGGGACTATAAGAATGTCTTCAAGCATTCTACCTTAGCAATGCAGGACACATAGCACATCTGTAATTAATTAAATTAATTAAAATAAAGTACAGAAGTTCCATGGAGACAGTTAGATCATGTGATTTCTTAAAGTTTAGAAAATCTGGGAGTCATGATTAAACAAAGAATACATTATTTCAGCACTTGCTGTTCTATGCTTACCCATCTGCACTCAGTGGTTATAGCCCATGATTAAAACGTGTGCTGACATATTATAAAGCTAAATTTGTTACTATTTGTAGTAAATTAAAGACCAACAGATAAAAGACTATGGAAAAATCTCAGGAGTAGATCAGTGTCAAGTTTGGACATTAACCCATAGATGAAGCATAATTCAGAGACTGATAAAGGAGAGAAAACAAGCATTGGGTAGCTGAACTGACAGGGAGTATAATGCTGCACTGAACTTCTTGTAAAATGGCATGAGATCATCTGGGACCATCTCATAACTTACAAAATACAAGGTGGAATTGTACAGACCTCCTTAGTGCTGGCTCTTGCCAACCCTCTCCAACCTCTCCAATATCATTCAGCTTCTTGCAAGCTTTTATAGCAGATACAGACTCTGCTGGCCCAGTCTCAGCTACCAAGGTATGAGCTGGTAACTCAACCTTTGTCTTTGTAACCAAGGCAGATCCTGAAGTCCTCAAAGAGTGAACATTTGGAACTATGACATTATATGCCCCTGGAAGCATTTCTTTGCTTGAAGAGCTAATTGCTATGCCTGCAACAGGAAAAATGAAACAAATAAACTCTCTGTTGTGTCAACAGAGCATGAAGAAATGTAATTTCATTTTGCCGAGGGGGACTGGAGAATGAGAACCCTCAAGTAGCGACTTGTTGGTGCAGAGATGTGAACCAGTTCACCTGTCAGCAGCAATCATTAACATGGTGACAACATGGAACGTTCAGCCCACTGCCTTCTTCCTACTCACAGTTTGCCTGGCACAGTAGACATGTACAAACCTCTTTCCACAGTCATGTGTGCACGGATGTTACAAAGGCAAGGTGGTTGCACAACAGTTAAACACTTTACAATTCCTGGGTGTTGCATGCCCAGCTATCTTGCTATGCAATGGCAATTATCTTTGGATCCGTGTTTAGCAAGGGTGGATCTCTCCTAATAAGCAATATAACAGTTACAGCAATATAACAATTGAGCTCAGGTTTTTCTTTGGCTTTGGATATCCACAGAAATTACTTGGCAGGTCCCATGCTATTTACATCCTTTCTCCCCAAAAGCCAGGTAGGCTGAATACAATCAAATGCTGCTCAGAAAGGAAATTTATAGAATATAATTTAGAGGCTATTCAGTTTACTTTTGAGCAGTTCTCCCTCACTTCATCTCTGCTGCAGTCTCAGGTGCCTCCTGGTGCCCATCTCGTGCACTGTGTGAGCTGTATCAACCTACCTGTCCCTCATTTCCCTTTAAAATCAGGTGTGTATGTACACCCAATTCCTTCCTTCAGATTTGAAACATAAATGCAAAGCTATTGTTTGTCTGTACAGACACTCTGATGGTGATTACGACTCATCCCTGAGGTAGGGAAGGAATCTCCACTCTCCAGAGGTATTGCCATGCTGATTTTGGGGGCACTAGGTGGGCATGTGTGTGCACATGGCTAATTACTCACACATTGCATGCATTTTTTACTTACACATTTAGAATGTTTTTTCTTATGATGAGTTTTTATTCTTTGACACATGAAGAGAACAAAAATTCTTACAGTAATAGCAAGTAAAACTCAGAATTCAGCAGACCATGCTAATGTCGTATGTTCTTGCCTTGATTCTAATGGACAAATAGCTAGTAAATACTTAATTGAATCACACTCTTTCTAAATACAAGTGCACTGTATGCAATAAAATGATTTAATAGCCTTTTATAAAGTTTACAACGTGGTTCATAATTGTACTTGATGATGGGAAAGAGAAAATACCATATCCAAAAAATCCCAGTGCACCATGAAAGCCTTTTTCCACGTGGTGCCAGGTGACGTGTACGTTGTTGTCCTCCAAGCGTTTCTTGTACAACAGTCCCTCATCCCTGAGCACATCGTGCTCACAGGTGACAATACAGGTGTCAGGGAGGCCACAAACAACAGCATCCTCTGCCAGCAGCGGGGACACCCGGGGCTCAAACAGCTCTTGCACTTCTTCATGGACTTGAGATAAAAACAAAGTGGGGAGTGGGGGTTTATAGCCCAGTTTAAACATGTCTAGAATAAGATCTGGGTTTATCCATTTCCTGTATTTCAAATTTATACTCTCAGGAACATGAGAACCAGCCAGAATTGGTTCCTTCAGGGAGCAATCCTTATTCAGGTATTTGAGAATAAAATGGACTGTGCGCTCCCGGGACAGGAAGGCGGTGGCAGCGTTTTTCTGGTGGGATGGCAGATTGAAGTTCAGTGCTTGGAGAAATGGATAGATCAGCACCTGGGCACGGATCTTTGGGATATCTGTCCTACGCACAAGTTCTTGGCAAACACAGGCAGCGAATGTGCCCCCTACACTGTCCCCACAAACAATAACCCGAGCAGGATCCACCCCGTGGGTCTCTGCAGTCCTCAGGAAGTGCACGGTGGCAGTGAGACATTCCAGAGTCTGGGCTGGATACTTGTGTTCTGGTGCTAAATGATACCTGAGAGGTGGAAAAGGCAGCTGGTGTTACACATTCTGTCACATCTGAAATACATCCCGTGCAAAAACTCCCCCAAATCAATATTAATTACATCATTAATTATATCTAGTCTGAAGTTTTTACATGCTGAAGCAAACCACAACAACTTTTCCTCATTTTCCTTCTCAAAACCAGTTCCTCCCAATTTAATAAAATCTCTTAACAATAAACCTTTTCATGGAAGAATTTGTTGGAAATTAAGGTTTCTTTATACCATCATGTATTTTCCATAATCAAAACATTTTTATAGGAAGCAGTGGTCCATGCTTGTTTTAAAAAAATACAAAATTTTAGACTCATTATTTACTCTTTAAAGTCATCTCAGATGATTTTAAATACTCCCCTCAAACATTAAAATCTGATATTTGGCTTTTAATTTCTTACATGTACAATGAACAAAGCTGTAACTAAGCCTGGCTCAGGTATTTCCATTGCCATCCCATGGCACACACTTGCTCCCAGGTACCAGCAGCGTGGGGAAGGCAGCACTAGAGCTCAGTTTCTTTTCTTATATTCAAAGAAATGGAAGTTCAGGGGTGTGTGGGAAGCAGGGGGGAAAGCAGCAGAGTTCTCTAACTCTGGGATTAACATGATTGAATCTTACTTACCCAACAGACACAACCACTGAATCAGATTTTCTGGCTATGTACCGGCATATTCTTTCATAACTTCCTGAAGAACAAATGTTGTTAATGTAATTAACATCTTAGAAAACTTCAGTCAATATTGTCCCTTATACTTCTATGACATATTACTGCAACAGCTTTTCAGCCCCTTGCCTATTTAGTGAGTACCCGAATTTTCTTTAGGAAAAAAATAATCTAGACTTTGGCCATCAGAAGTTGCTGTGTAGTTCATACATTTAGAAAGATTATTAATCTGTGTGGAAAATAAGGATTTATTATGATTATTATTAATAAAGAATGGGAAGTGGTTTTAAACTGAGAGAGGATATAATTCATTTGCATCTAAGGAACACTTTTGTTTTATGAGGGTGGGGAGGCCCTGTCACAGGGTGCCCAGAGCAGCTGTGGCTGCCCCATCCCTGGAAGTGTCCAAGGCCAGGTTGGCTGGGCTTGGAGCAGCCTGGAATAGTGGAAAGTGTCCCTGCCCATGGCAGGGGTGGAAGAAGATTGTATTTAGGGTCACTTCCACCCAAATCATTTTATGATCCTAATGGTTCAATGATAAACAGTGCTATATTTTATAAAAATAATTTAAATACTAAGTAAGTGCAATTAGAGAGTTTAAAAGGTTAAAAATAAGCACTATGTGCTTTCTCACTCCTGTCTCTCTAAGCTTCAGTCACTTCACTCAGGAATTTTTAAAAGCAGGCAGTTAACAAAGCCAAACAGTCACATTTTCTCTTTTAGTTCCTTACTGATGCTTCCAAAAATGCCACATCCCCCATGGATGAAGAGAACTCCTCTCCGTTTGCTTGCAGATGGTTTTCTTGGCTGGTAAATCCTCATGGGTACCCCATCAAAATGCAGATCCTTAATGGAGAGCTGGGAATCCCACCATGCTGGGAGCCCATCCATGATCAGCCTGGTAATTGTGTGCTCCTCCAAGATACCCAAATGGTTTAAATTCTTTGCCTACATAGATGGAACAGGAAATATGAGAAATTACTCTAGGGAATACAAATCTTCCCACTTCATAAAGGCCACAAGCTACTTTCTCCTACACTGTCTTTAGCATAATTGGGTTGGTTATTTGGTAGTTTTTAGTATTCCCACAAATAACTATCTTTGGAATTTTGGTTAAGAACACGAAAATTTACATCTTCATGATTGCAGGAAGAATGTTGTAATACTTGTTCCATTAAATGTCTTATATAAATACCTTCTAGTTCCTGTGATCTGGATTTACCACAAGTAACAACAGGCATTTGCTCAGGTGTAGAAGCTGGGAGGCCTGAGGCTCGTTTCCTAATGAGTGAATAGAAAGAGGCATTTCTTGGGGATGGTTCCAATCCTGGGTGTGTTAAATCATGTTCTGGAGGTGTCTGTTCATCTCCATGATTAACTGTACTTCAGATGCCTCCGTTGAAATATTTAAGGTTAGGTGAGATGAAAATGTCCTCATGACAGGATTATCATACTGGGGGAAAAAAACACACAGGCCAGTCTGTGGGCAAGACTTGGTGACTTAATGGTGTTGGGTCGTGCCCCTGCCATGGGGTCAGTGAGAACAAGCTGTAAGAAAATCATTGTGTCTGTAATCATTAGTGAGGGGCTAAGGCCCAACTGAGGAACAGATGAAAATGCTTCTGAGTCTTATCTCCTTCTCCATTAGTGAAACCACTGCCTTTTCCAAGATCTCACAGCTGTTCATAAATGACCCTGCAGTCAGTTTCTACATCTTATCAGCAAAAATCCAAATATTCTGAAGAAAGGGAAGGTTTGTTAAATGGCCTTATCCAAGACCAGTCAACTGCTGATAATTAAGACAGTCTAAATATCACACTGCAATCCTCCTTTGAACACATGTTGTAATGGATGTATTTCCTGTTAGAATAACATTTCCCTTCCTATTACATGGTGGCTTAAATGCCCTTCTGGACTACTGCAGTTCATTCTTCTGGAATGATGACAGTCATCACAAACCATCTGCAAATTGTACTGTTGTTCTTTTCCAAGCCACAGAAGTCTCTGTATCAATTCCTCCCAAACTGAAGACCAGCTCTGCTTGTGTAAATTCTTTTTTTCAACCTGTGTATCACAGATTCTTTCTTCCTAATAATCTACACAGTCTGCAGTAAACAAGTTGGGTGAGGAGCAATAAAAGAAATTGCCATGAGCCATGGAAGAGGGAGAAAATCAGTTAGAAACAAAAGTGGGAATCCAGAGATGATCTGGAGGTTTTCATAACATTCTGCCACCAATGCCAGCAGTACACAGGGTAGTTTAAGAGACTAATGGATGTCCACAGTTCTTACATTTTAAAGTATCCCAGCAAAGGGGAAAACTACTGTAAGACTGAGTACAGTGGTGGCAGAAACCACAGGGTGAATCTAATCTCCAAACAGCAATTTTCAAAAGTCTCATGACTCTTAAGTCAGTTCTGTCAGAGTTCTGGTTTTGGAATGTTTGAAGCTGGCAGAATTGCCATTTAATCTCATTTGAATGTTCTAACATCCTTGAGGTTTTTCAGGGCTTTCAGATGACAGTAATATATATGATAAGCTTGATATCAGAGCATCCTATCTAAATATTCTCTTTCCTTGCCTTGTCTTAGGAGTTCCTGATGTCACAGAGGCATCTCCAAATGCGGGGGAAGCACTGTCATGAAGGAGAAAGAGGGAATTTGGTATGCACTCTGTCAAAAAACTTCTTAATCGAGAATTAGAAATACTTCAGAACCTACAGCAATACATTTAAAACCTAAAAGGTTTGACTATTTTTAGACAGATATCATCAGTGTTAGTAGGTGAAATGTATTACATAAACCAGGTCCTAAAATGTGCATATGTGTATGGGAAAGAGCATGTCAGCTTTTCTTGTGAAACACAGTCTTTGAAAAACTATTTGCTGAAACACCTAAATTCTGGCACCAACTGGCTTTTTATGTGGAAGATCATATGGGGACCAGATTTTTACTTTAAAGTAATTATAAAATCACATACCAAAAGCAGCAAAGCCCTCTCAATTTGAGCTTCAGGGACTTTTAGGATTACATCAGACAGTCTGTCTGTCAGTCACTCTGAAGTGTGCTTTTCCAACCACAGTAATTATCATCAAAGCTTCAGATCACAGATGCAATATGCACAGTTAGTCTGAACACAGACTAAACTGAGTGGTTTAAAACAAAAGCCAGGAGGCTTTCTCTCATCTCTTCCATTTGACATGGTCATTGATCCCTTCATGACAAGGGACAAGGACAGATGCAGCAGGAGCATCATTTGTGTGCCTTCTGACACTCGTCTGGTGCTGCAGCTTTTCTAAGACATTGCAAGTAAGGTGGGAGAAGAGAGGAAAACACTGTTCTGTACTGTGGAAAAAGAGGTTTTTTTACAAGAGCATACAGTACAGGCACATCACTGGCACAGGGGTAGCACAGCTTGATGGCACAGGAAGAGAACATTCACCAGGATAAGTTAATTGCACATGTGCCATGCACAAAGCATTATGCATTTAATAAGAAACCTGTGAAGTTCTTACTGTGAGGGCTGCCCCTCTGAGCAAAAACATAAACCAGAAATTCACCCAAAGTACCAGCAGATGCCTGAAGGCTTTTGAAGGAAAATAGGTGAGTGGATTCAATGCATAGCAAGTGGTGAAATGCATCTTTAAAACTACTCAGTAAAAGGGTGCTGAAGTTTAGGGAATGTATTATCAATGAAGACAGCATATGCACTTATTTCATTACAGACACTTAAAAGCTGTGCAAATGGTTAAATTATCACCTGAAAGAATCTTTTCTCCCACTAAATAGGGAAAATAGAGAATTCAATGACATTGTGCTCCTATAATATTACTGTCATTTTATTATATTAAGTTTATAAGCAACATAACACAAGAGCAGTGTGAGATATGCAAGGACAGCAGCCTCTTCTTTCATGGCAGACAAGGCAGAAAAATACCACGGGAGAATCAGGGATACCCACTGGATTTGGTGAATGCTGCTGTGTGAATTCAAGCAACTCACCTAAGTCTTTAACAGATTGTAATGGCCCAAATCACCTCTCAGCATGTGGGCCCAAGCTCCTGTGTTCTTTCTGTGTAATTGAGGATTAGAGAATTGAGGTGAGCTTCATACAAACATCAAAGAAACCACTCTGATTTTCCTGCAGGCTTTCTTTTGACATGTTACGTGCCAGACATGACAGGACTTAGACTGCTCCTACTGGCTTACACTGCTCCTGCTCCTGCTGTCTACTTTGAAAGCTTTTTGGGTGAAAGCTGTTTCTTTCTGTGATGGCAAAGCCCACAGCACAGTGAGTCTGGCTTACAGGTGCTTAGATAATAAGTGATAGCAGGCCTAAACCTGCTTTGGCAGGTTTCTTCTGGAGGTGTCTTCCAACCTACCTGATTCTATGGTATTAACTAGGGCTCTGTTATTCAGTCACTGCAGAATAAGAACAGAAAGAAAGGTAAGAAAATTACTGCAAATAGCTCAGAAATTAGGAAATTGCCTTACATATATCAGAGTTCATTTAGACATAGAAATTTGGGTTGTTATTATTAATGTAAATTATATCCAGAGCCCTCCTGTCATCCACAGGACCAGTAATTTTATTATAGAAATATACAACTGCAGCATAAGAATGAATATCTCAGCACTGAAAGAACTCATCTCATCCTGGCTGCCTTTTATATGGTAATAAAACCCAAATAAACCTTTGGCCTTTAAATCTGTGTTACTGTGCTTCCCATTACATGTAGCTGCTGTATTTAGATGCCTATCTTCATACTCAGGTCTTTCCATTTCTGAAAATCCCAGTATCCCAGAGCATGATAAACTCACCAGAATTTCCATCAGAGTGTACATACGGTGATAAAAGTGGAGCTTTGCTGGCTGGTCAGCATCAGGAGGAATCTCTTCCTTGAAAGGATTATGATCAGTTGCAATTAAAACCATCAATACAAAAGTAACTAAAATTCCTGCTATTAAAACCAGAATATAATAAGATTCCATTGTTCTTTGGTGGGAATGATAAGACTTTGTTTGATATGATTCTGTCAGTATTTATATCCTCCAGACTGATTCCACAGAGAAGTAATCTGCATAGCAAATTCCCCCTGCCCTTCTCCTTCAGGCAGAGCTGACAGGTGCTGGAACCTGCAAACATCCGGCTCTGACAACTGCACTTGGCATGATTCAAGCTCATACCTAGCTCAGTCACTTCCAGGTGACACCATTCCTTTGTATGTTCCAAAACTGCAAATGGGCTGTGGAGGGAGCAGAAAACACAGAAGAAAGTTTCCCTGCATCCTCAGAACAAGCTCCTTGGAAAACCATGGCTTAGAGATAAGAAATGGCTGTGAAATGATGAATACAAAAGGAATTTGCCTTCCCCCCCTTGGTAGACCCTCTTATCTATCTCTAATATTAGTGGTTCATTTTCTTTTAGTATCCATAAGCCAGCTTTGAATGTAAAATCCCTCAGGGATTGGTTAGAAAGTAGAATTCCCTTGGTAATTGGTGCAAACTGTAAAACCCTCAAAAGATACAAAACCCCCTGTAAAGCAATAGCCGTGGGTATATGCAGACAGGATGCCTTCATGGAATAAACCATGGATTTGTGCCTCTCTGCATGTGCTGGTCTCTGTACCCTGCTGGTCTGAGAGCTCCCCACGAGCCAAATTCCATCTGGGCAAGGCTCGGGAATGTGCTCTGTCACTGAGGGCTGCAGGAGCAGTCTCAGGGATCCCAAAGGGACCCCAAAAACCCCACCAGTGACAATGGGCTTTGTATTTTATCTGCTTTATGGGCCTGGAGTGTCTAAGAGCCTATGGAATAGTGGCCATACTGGACTGCAGTCTCCATGGTCAGGAATTGTGGTGGTTCTGTCTTGGAAAGGTCTGAAGGATGATTCCAAGGCTTTTTGCTTAGTGCTGATCTTTTCCCCTTCCCCTGCTCACTTGCTGAGGCAGACAGCTGGCCAGAACAGTCAGAAAAGTGCTAGCACAGGGAAACTTCTTCTTGACTTGGAAAATTTTGGCCCTAACCCTCTGTGCTGATTATTTCTAAAGAAAAGACTTTGCTATCTTTCCACCTCCATATTTTGCTGTGTTAGCCATGGCTGTAACTCAGGTGTGATCAGAGCATGCAGTATCCAAATGCTTGCACCAAAGGAGCTGATGAAACCTGCAGGAATGAGTCACCAAGTGTAACTGTGTGTTTCTGTCCACCATGTGACTGGACAAAACGTGTCTGGGTAACATTAAAAAACAAACAAACATTAGCTCAGCTTGACATAAGCAAAACCTGTGCTTATCCTCTGAACATTGAAACATTTCTTTATCCCCACTAATCTCCCAATACTCCATTTAAAACCCTTATAAAAGCTTGTAATCGTGGCCACAGAAGAGATGTACTCTTTTTATGAGGAACAGGATTCTGCATTTGAATAACCAACCTGCAGTGTATTCCCTGAAGAGATCTGCACTGAAATAAAGCATCCTTTCTACATTTTCTTACACACTTCAAGAAATCAGACAAAATATATCTGCTTAGAAAAATCCCATTTATGCAAAATATGCATTACAGCAAAGAGCAAGAAACTTCAATGTGAATTAGTCAGTGGGGTAAAAAAAAATATTTAGCTGTGTGGAATGAGTAAACAAGATGAGTCATAAGAGATAAAGTACCAGATGATGACTGACCAGACTGGATTCTTAAGAGAATAGGTCTAATCCTTAACTTCAGTGGAGCTCAGCAAGTAGAGATGATTGAATTACGTGGTTTAAAATTAAAATAGATAAATAGGTAGGTAGGTAGGTAGGTAGGTAGGTAGGTAGGTAGACAGATCGAGATAGATAGATGGATAGATAGATAAATAGATAGATAGATAAATAGATAAATAGATAGATAGATAGATAGATAGATAGATAGATAGATAGATAGATAAGGTGTTAAGGATAAGATCATGAAACCCATTTAAGCAATAACATGGAATTCTCAGCTTAACTCAGCAGGCCTGGACCTTGTAATCACAGTCATCTTTGCAATTGTGATGCAAACGAACTAAGTTGGGCAATGATGGATCTCTTCTATCGATGAGGACACTTCACTGAGCCCCTCCCAACCCCACTCCATCCAGACCTGTGGGGGTACAAACTTGAATGATTTTTAAAAAAACCAAAACAACATAAACTAAAGCAAAAATTAAAGCTACTTTTATATTCTGAGAGGTAATATCTAGACTGGAGTTTACTGATTTTAGTGTGATCTTATTTCCCCACATCAATTCATACACCTTACATATCCTAGCCCCCCAGTCAAAATCATTTGCCTTTGACACCACCATTCTCTTCCAAACATTACTCTTCTTTTTGACTTCCTTTGTAAAATGTCAAGTTTAAAGAAACTTTGGACAGTCAGAGGCCCTGAATTATTTCACCTGAGTATATATTAGTGAACCCTTGCTCTGAAAAGAAGTTACAGCTGCATGCATGGAATTCTTTTTGAAAGGCATTGTTAGAAGGAATTCAGGGAATATTTTATCTTGAGACTTTCTTCCTAAGTTTACAAGTTTCCAGTGCAAACTTGTTACAGGCATTATTAGCTTGCTGTTCAGTTTTTGCCTAAATCAATGTCATGTTGGTTTAGTAGAACTTCAGGACTTTTCTCTAATTTTAAGAGCCTTAAAGACATAATTCTTCTGTTTCCACAGTTCCTTGCATGTCTTAGAAGTTTTGGCAGGACTGAGGAGTTAGTCAGAAGGAATGGGTAAATACTGACTGGCCTGAAAGTGAGTAAAGGCACCAAAGGGAAGGTGAGTCAATCAGGTTAACAAACATGATCACTCCATTCCTGTTCACATGTGGTATTTTTGCATTGTTCTCCCTTGAAGCAGGCTAAGATATTGAGAGATCTGGCTTCTAGTCACAGATAGGTGAGGAAAACCAAGGGCAGTTACAATAAATGACAAATACTAACATGTGTGAAAACAACTCAGCAAGTGGAACAATACCATCATTGGAGATGTTACATCCCTTTGAATTCCAGAGAACCCCTAGGAGTACTGTAAAAACTTCTGCTTATACAGAAAGTTATTTTTACACTTCTTGAATCTAGAAGGGGATGTCACCTAGAATTTAGAATTACTCAGTAAGACATTTTCATATCTTTACTCATGACACTGCTTTGTTGTAAGACCCTGGGAAAACCCTAAGACGTGGAAATGCAGCTTTTTGTAAAAGGCCTGACACAGAGTCTTTGCTGTCAGGCTGGAAGTTAACCAGAAACCCGGTTCCTTTGAGCTTAGTCCATGGCAGAGCTCCACTTAGAAGGCAACAGTATCAGACTCTTAATAGCATATAGAGAGACAGTGTGAAATCACAGAACCACTGGGACACATTTCAAATGGAAAATGTGAACACAAAGGAAGAATGAAATCAAGAAGCACAAAAATTTAGCTCTTGATTTATCCAAATCTGACAGCAGTACTTCACCTAACAAAAACCAGATCATCTTGGCAAAAGGTTTTCCTATTTTAAAGGAGGTTTAAGTTTTATTCTGTGATCATGATCGATTGTCTATGATCAAGAAGCCTGCAGTGATGTAAAAGAATGGTATTACTGACACCATAGTCCCACAGCCTTTCCATTGTGGAACTGCTCCTCTGTGTTCCCAGGTTTGTACTGCACCTCCCTGAGTGGGGGCCTTTAAGTTGAAAACACAGAATTGTTAGCCCAAGTGGCTTTCAGACATGCCTCAAGTATAGTTTTAATTCCCAGCTCATTTTCCTTTCAAAAGTTCTTGCAGTTTAGCAATCTCACTTGTACAAACAGCCTTCCAAGGATCTTGGCTGCAAAGGCTCAATGAACACAGTTGTGCCCATAAATACAGGGGTTATATGAACTGTGAGCATTCAGACACTGCCTGAGCCTCTCCATAAATCCAGGTAACATTGTTCTGTAAAAATGGAGCTTTGTCATATAAGTGATGTGTATGGAGAGTGTATCAACTTGTTTTGGAGGTAAATGTGCTTTTCACTGCTGCTTTTTCCTTCAAGCCATGGCAAGTCAGAAAAAAAAAATTGGTTTCTATGACTCTTATTGAGAATATGAGTAAGTGCAGTCCAAAAGCTGTGCAAGCACAAACCCAGAAATCTAAACCAACAAATGGAAGTCAAAACTGGCTTGAGTTACCACTGAAACACATTACACAGAATCACAGAATATCCCAAGTTGGAACACATCCATAAGGATCATCCAAGTCCAACTCCTGGCCCTGCACAGGACCATTGAAAGATCCCACTGTGCACCAGACAGCCTGACTACCTTCTTGCTCTCATAAACTGGAATAAAATATAGTTGAAAGTGCTATGAAAATGGCTCTTAAAAAGTTGTTGTGTTGGTTATTTTTTTTTTTCAGTTTATAGTTTGTTGTGGGTGTCTGTGTAGGCAACAACTGCCAAATTAATGCAGGATTAATTCTGAAAATGATGGAATTTCACAGAATTAACAGGCCTGCTTATGGGGTGTTTTAGGACTTCTGAGTGGAAACATGGACGGGATCCACTTTGGGACAACTTTGGACTGATAATTAGAGAGAACCACTGGCATGTGACAGATTGTTGTCACCCTCACAAAGGTCTGTGCCAAGTGTCCATTTGTACCTGCAGCATTTAAAACACTTTGGATAATCAGCCCTGTATGAAAGTGTAGTTTAGGGAGTCTCAATAACAGAGATGGACTTTGTGAATAAAAGCTCATGTTGGTTTTGTAAAGGTGACACTTTGGGAAAAAGGAAGGGCCAAGAAAGAGTGCAGTGGTTGCTGTAAAACAATCAGATGCAATTCCAGAATATTCCTTGTTTTTTTCCTTTTCAGAGTAGATCTGCAATCAAAAGGGACAAATCCTCTAAAGTTCTAATTCTCTCACATATAGTATGTGTAGTATTTAAAGCTA